AAAGAGCAGCTGTGTTTGGTATAATCACATTTCTGGCTTTGGGACTGAAACGTGCCTGACTGTAAGTCATTTTCTGGTCTTTGTTATTTTATAAGAGAGAGGATTAGTGGGTTGAGGGAGTTGTGGGTAAAATCCCTCTAACAGGTGGTGCATTAGGAAGTAGCCAATATATTGGTATAGTAGCCATTTATTCTGCTACAAACTGGTCAAATGTGTGCAGCTCACGAGCAGGATGTACTGTGTGTCTCAAGTAATGAAAACATTGGAGCCTGTGAGGGATTCTGTTTTTATTTTTAAAAGCACAATAAACATGGATGCATTCCTTTTCTGCTTCTCTCATCCTCCCTTTTTTTTCCCCTTTCAATAACCTCATGGATTTTCTGTCCTCATCTGCTTTCCATTCTCACCTCATCCTCATCATTTTCCTCTCACCCCCCCTACCTTCATCACCACCTACTCTCCAGTCCCCTCACTTACCACTTGTCCTTGCATCGTCCTCCGCCGCACCGCCACCTCCTCCTCCTCCTCCTCCTCCTCCTCGTTAGCTCAAGGGTCTTATTCAGCCTCCAGTGTGTGTGCAGAGAGTCTGGGAAAAGACAGGGCATAAACAACACAGGCAAACAAACCACCTGCTTCCTGTTGAGGTCTCGTGTTGTTAAATGTGCGGACAGAAATAGAAATGGGCAACCTTGCAGCAGAATTAGAAAAGATGGAACGGACAGTGGGAGGAAAATCACAGACCTGCACAGCAGTTAAACACCACGCTTCCGTGCATACCCTCTGGATTCCAGAGAAAGAAGGCTCAATCACACCTGAGGACGTATGGTAATGGGGTGACAGGAACTAATTGGAGCTGAAGAAAGTAATTGATTAATTGACTGAGTTACAAAATTAATCTCCAGCTGAAGTGGCCCAAATTCAGTCTTCTTTGTGATTATACGTGAATCTTCCTCATACCGTACAACAAGAGCTGTCTTTGCTTCCACCCACACTAAATCTAATTTGTTTTGACCAAAAATATTTATTCATAAGTTATGTCAAATACAAACAAAGAAGAAAATCTTGTCATCTTAGAAGAAAGACACGAAGATTTTTGCCTTGATTTAACAGCTGTAATCATCATCAAAGCTGCTGCTCATTCATTTTCTGAAATTTGTTGATTTCCTAAGTGTTTCAGATTTCCAAACATTACATTAGCAAGCATTAAATTTGGTTAAATATTTCTTTTTCACGCAGATTTACAGCTTTTCCGTCTATTATTGTAAAAATGAATATTTCCAAAATTTCAAGGAACCCAAGCACATTGAGAGAAAAATGTCAGATCCTCACATTTAGGGAGATGAGAACGTCTGCTTGGATAAACAATTGTAACCGTGTAGTCCAAATATGTTATATTTATTTATTTAATTTTTTTCAGAAAAAGGTATTAAAATCAACGGTGCAGTTCATTATTTTATCACATGTTGTCATATTATTATCCTCTTGCTTAATAGATTAAAAAGTGATTAAAAAGAGAGGGACTTGACATTATCAAATTTTAAAAAACAACCAAACTGACTTATTGTTAAAAGGGAACTGTTCTACTAAGAATAGTACTATTAATCCTTATTTTTTACTACACCAGGCTTTTGTGCAGCTCCTGCACAAAAGCTGTTTTAGTTCCCTTCCCCCCCTTCGTTCAAGCCAACCTTCTTCTGATTGGCTGCTTGTCATACATGCAGGCACGTAGGTGGGGCTTCTGTGCTTACAGCCAAAACTGTGTGCTCCAGATGACCATATTAGGAATATATCTTTCTATGACATCATGCAGATCTAAGGGTGTAAAAAAAACTGTCTGAAACTGAACATTTAGAGCAGTCTGAAGCCTGAGCTTTTGGCTCACAATATTTACTTGTAAATATGCTTATTATAAATGTTTAATGTGAGCATCCACCCCTGTAACGGAATATAAACAGCATGTATTTCATTGGTTGGTTGACTGAACTGGAAAAACCCAATAATGTAACATTTCAGTGAACAGAAATATATACAAGGTGTGGGAACATGATATATTTAACACCAATTTTTAACACTAATTTTTTCTTTTCTTTTCTGTATTTATTTTTACAATATTTTAACTAAATATTCTTTTCAGCTAGTTTTTAGATGGTATAGCCGCACTAAGTCCTTAACAAATCAAATCCCCCACGGAGCTGCTTTATATAGTCATGAATTATTTTGCCTTGTTAACAAGGCGGTAACTGTTCACATGAGATAAATTTCAGGGAGCAGTCGTCTCTTTTATTTGCTTTGATTGTATTAGATGAGAGTGCTGCCTGTGTTTGCTTCTGATAGTCATTCATTATAAAATCGGTTTCTCCTGACAAATTCATTTTTGTGACAAAACTGCCCGTGAACAGTCTCGTGAAAGATGAGAATCTAAACGAACAGTTGCTGCAGCACTCTGAAACTGAGATGAGAGAATTTTTTTCCCCCTTGCTTAGAAAGGGGGCCATAATCATGGCCTCATTTTACAGTCCGGTTGAAGCACCTGCTCCTGACTCAGCTATGAATCATGGTTGGCTGATGGGAATCAGTCACACCCATCCTATTGACACACACCCACACACAAATACAAACCAGGGGAATCCCTATAGCCTGAGGCAGAAAATGCTGCTACAGCAGACTGTCTCATATATCTTGACACTTCTCTTTACTGCCTGTGAAATACTCATTGATTACAGGTTATTTGGAGTACTGTGTTGTACATTTAATATCTCTGGTAACGTAACCTTTACTTACCTCCAGAGAGGCAAATGTGATCCCATTGTTTTCTTGTGGATGGGTATCATTTGACACAGCAATATCATGATGCACCGGCTCCCCCTCCTCTAAAACGAGTATCGATTGCCCCAGCTGTTGCTAAGTGAGCTGTGCTAACAGAAGAGGACACAGTCTATAGTAGAAGTATTGTCTGTCTCTTTAGTCTTGTTCATTATGTGGCCCTGCCATCTGCTCAGCAGATGAAATAACTGAGTAGATTTTAAAAAAAAAATCAATTTAAGTTGGTGTGAGCACACTGACATTTTAATGCCGAGTTAGAGGAGATCTGTCTCCCTTAATTAGACATATACAGCAAAAGCACGTTATATAAAGGGTTTCCCTTTTCAGCAATTGTTACTTTTTGAGCAGCAGTAATCAGTGTGGCTTATGTTTGATAAAATAGGTGGAAATCATGCAAGGCTTTGGTGTGATTACCTCAGAATGCCGTTATAAATAAATGTGTAAAAGAATAGCTCAGCATTTTAGGAAACTGATTTAGATTCCTTTTCTGAGATGAAAAGTGTGCTCACTGTGAAGGACTAGTAAGGATTTGGTGCACAATCTGAAATGAAGTATGATGTAATGGTGGTCAGAAAACACTGAAAATGGCTAGTTGAAAGGGAATTCCACTTTACACATGTACTTGAGGACTGTGTATGAAAAGAGGATAAATAAAGTCCCTGCTCTAGTGGGAGCTCTGATAAATGTCCTCAGGTTGTGTCCCTTGAATCAACTTTGCTTCTGGTTGCAAATGGGCTCGTCTCTGTTCAGTACCAGAAACCTGAGGCTGTGTTAGTCACTAATGGCAGAAGGCATCAAAGGTTGCAGTGAAACAGCCAAAAACATTGCCATCCAGATCTTTTCCTAACCACTTGTCCTTTACGTCAATAGACAAGGGCATGAGGTCAGGACAAAAGGTAGAGGAAAATTCATCAACAAAGACAAAACTAATGCAAAACAAGTTGCATTAGAACCATCGCTTCACTTCAGTATAGCTCGGTATTTTTATTTGTAGTGAACTTTTCTAATGTCATTAGGAGATTTGCACAAGGCAACGACTTCATAACAAGCAGAATAAAATGAAGCAATGCTGCATTGTTGTTCACATATACTGTAGGTTTACACAAATACGTTAAAGTTCAAAATGTATTTACATGTTAGCAAGTTGCACAACAAGATGCAAAACTCACCAGTAATTTACATGATTTGCGTCAATCGTCACTGGTTTATTTCCATAAATGGTCAAATGGTGCGTCACATTGAATTGTGGCTTATCTTACAAGTGGCGCTCAAGTGTATCCTGTAGCAAAGGAAACATGGAAGCACCTTTCCCTAATGTTTAGAGAATTCAACTATTTAATCTTTAAGGTCCCCAATTCCTCTGTTTAGTCAACTAGTCTATATAAAATGAAGTATTGTTTACACACACAGTGATCGATCATGTTACTGTGACTACGAGGCACTGGCTTCTAAGAAAACCGAAGGGTTTAACCATACACGTTTCAGAATGGGACCCAGAGCTGCTGCAAGGGAGACTCAAACAGTGACTTCTGACTCTGAAGTCCATTTCTTATCTCGCCAAGTGAACTGACCAACACTGATTAGATATGTGTCCAGAGAGGCAATTCAATTCAGTTTTATTTACATAGCACCAAATCACAACAGTCAACTCACGGTGCTTTATATTGTAGGGTAAAGATCCTGTGGCAGAATATAGTGTTTTAGATTAAAACAACAAAAATAACCCTATAAAATCCTGTAATACTACTCTGTGTAAGACAGGTGGATGTTGTGTGGCTGTTCACAACCTTTCAGTTAGTAAATTTTTTGTTAATCAAATGTATTTAAAAAACACGTTTCCTTTATTGCAATACTGTGAGAAATATTTCTTGCTGGATGTGTTTGTGGATACAACATCAATATCGGGCCAATCAATATGATGTCAACCATGTTTGTTGGAAAGTCAGCTGAGTCAGCGGTCCCCAACCCCCGGGACACAGACCGGTACCAGTCAATGAGTTGTTTGGTACCGAGCCACAAGAGTTGAGGGTTGGGTGTGATTTTCAGGGTTTTTATCGTTATTTTTTTTTTTTTATCATTTTTGCCGTTAACTCTGTTTCCCTGGGCCTTTTCCCATGTGCTATAAATAAATCTTCTTTCTTTTGTACTAGTACTGGTTTTAGTTTGTTGTTTTTATCCCTGACACCTTAAAGGCCGGTCTGTGAAAATATTATCGGACATAAACCGGTCTGTGGCGCAAAAAAGGTTGGGGATCGCTGAGCTAACTGATCTGTTGTGGCGACATGCTGGCGTCTTGTGACCTCAACAACTAAGAAGGAAGAATGTTGAGTCATTACGTACCATCAGCCCACCTGAAACACTGATCCTGGCATTCTGGAGAACAAAATGAAGAAGACCTCATGTACACACATACTTAACCACACAGGATGCCTGTAACGTTTCGGATTGATTTTTTTCTGACCACCAAAACTTGTGTTGGTTTAGAAACTCGCTGAAACTCTGACCTTCTAATTCCCTGAAAGCCAGTGCAGCTTGAAGTTTCTCAGGCAGGGGAAGAGATGGTCGATCCGACTCCTGCTGAAAACAAATAGGGTCAGGGTTTTTTTCTTTTCTTTCTTTTTCTATTTTTTTTTAAGACATAACAAACGGACAACTCTTATTCACATACGTTTTGACTGAGCTTTGCTCTCGGGATAATACAACTTCAGTGTTTTGTTTTTTCAGAATTACTTTAAAGATTCGACATGTCACCTGTCCAAGATACAAAACAAAGAGAAATGCTCCTTAAATGATAATCCTGAAAAATACAGTTGTTATAGTCTAAGTATGGTGGACGAGTTCAGTAATTTCGCATTCAAACAAAGAAACATCCAGACAGGCAACAGACTGTGGCTGGGGTGGATATCATCTATTAGTATCCTTTGGGCTTTTGGGCAGGCCCCAATATTACTGATGCTTAACTGAAGCTCGGTGATGACCAAGCCTTTCAGTCCTGGTCTGTGCAAATCTCATTCAAGTTTTGAATCTTTCCTGTATGCCTCTCTAATGTGCAGACTGTAATTTTAGAGTCTAAAAAGATCTCTTAAAGCTGATTTGAGTTTAATAAACATGCTTGGGGAATTTTATTTAAATTCTGATCTAATTGATTTTAAATTTAAATACAATACCACAAATCAATATGTTAGGGTAATAGTTGAATTGGTGATTCTAAGGTAGGTGTGAATACGAGCACAAATGGTCATCTGTCTCTGTTAGCCCTGCTATACACTGCTGATCTGTCCACGGTGCACCTCTTGTCCAATTGCAAGTGTAATATCCCGCAGGCCCAACGTAACCCTAAATCGGATAATTGGAAGAAAATGGAATCTGCAGACAAGTTGACTAATCAAGAAAATAATCTGCAGTTGCAGCCTTACTTGCAATGTGCTGTGAAGCATTTTTCGAAAACGCCTTTTCCTTTTTTCATGTCTTTGTACAGGCAAAATGCTTCATAGTAAAATCTTTAATTTGTAGCTCTTCTTAGAGGAATATGATGGTAGTCAGTGTGGGAGTTGGAGTCATTTTTAATGGTGGATAACTCATTTTGGAGCAAAGCCATTCATATGTGTGTTTTTCTCCAGCACTGATCTCTCTTGAGAAACAAATGCTGGGAATTGATCTTTGAAGTGCTCAGGCTTACGAAGTGGGGAACCACAACTTAGCTGCTCTTCTGCTTGCCTGCTGAGATAATCTGTCCGAGTGAGATTGATTTTTGATTTGGCTGAAGCTTTCTGAAGATGCAGCTCCTTTTTGTTTTATTCATAAGTTCACTCATGACTCTTCCACAGTAGCTGATGCTAATAGCCTTGGTCAGCCTTCTTATCTCCGGTTCCTCAGCTGATTCATAATGCCTTAAGGCGTGGGAGCTCAGTACGCTCATTTAGGATGGCAATTATATGAGAGTGGCAGTGATCATTCTCGGTATCTCCGCTCAGTGGAGAGGAGATGGGAAATTGCATTGAGTATCCAGTGTTATCAGTGATAATTCTGCATGTCTGACAGAGAAGATGGAGGCTTCTACTGTGACTTAATCGTAATCCTCTGATTTTAGTGCCGGTGTGAGAGAGAGGTGCTGAAAACCTCTTCACAGCAGCGTCTTATTGTCTCCTCAGCAGGGAAAGTTTTTCCCAGTGCACAAGTAAAAGGCTACTGAAGAGCAAAAGCTAATGGGTTGCCAAGTTGCAATAGTCACTTCACCAGGGGAAATTAGGTCTTCCCACCCAGCCTGGGTCCTATAAGAAGAGGAAGGATATGGGGCACACATACACACAAAGTTGAATGGACAGAGCTTTTATTTATTTATTTATGAGAGGAAGACCAGGGAGGAACAACAATGCTAATCCTGATGAGGAAATACAGCTCCTTTGTGTTTGGAGTGGGCTTGTTGTCAAGCAAGCAGCTGCTGACATCATGTGAATAGACAGTGCCCAGACCACATTTCAAGGGGGCTGAGAGGCAGTGAGCAGGAGGGCAAAGAGCTGAGCACACTAGTGTTATGGTGCTCTCAGAGTGCAACGCTCTGCACTGGAGGGTGAACCGATTCAGGAGCGTTTGTCTTAAATACTTTGCGTCTGTGTGCAGGGACCTGAGAGGAGATGAAGCAACTCTGATTACTTTGGTAAGAGAGACAGCTTGACGTTAATTCTCTGTCACCTGTTTTAATGCACTGTTTGTACGTAAATAAAACAAAGTTTTAGTATGTGGAACTGCAAGCTAGTAAAGATTCAAATCAAGAAGATGTTTGTGGTTCTTTATAAATGTGGAAAAGTGACAAACTGGCAGAAATTGAAATGCTATATATTTCAAGCAGTTTGAACAGACTCAGCTTCTGCATTAGAGGATTGGCTTCTTTAATTTGCTTATAATCATAGTAAACTGAAAATTGTTGTGTTTTGGATAAAATGAAGTCTTCTCGCAGGCATCTGGGAAGCTCAGACTGGCATTGTGTTGTTAATATAGTAATTATTGTGTTCTCTGTTGTAGCTTTCGTTTGGGTAATTATTTTCAAGATTAATCTTCGTTTGTTGGCGGGTTAAACAAATACACACAGAAAGATCATTTTGATGTCTTTGTACACCCTGACGTGTCCAGCGAGCAGTCGAAACCCCAAAACATTAATTTTACTGTTTTACAGTAAAATAAAAGCATCAAATTCTCACAAAAACAGTTGAACGTATTCCTCTGTTAAACCTTGCTAGATTGCAAATACATTTTCTGTCAGTCAACCAGCTTTTTAGTCAAACAATTCTTGCTAACATGATTCATTTGTTTGGATTTTATTAACTCTAAACCACCAGAAATAGGCCAGTGGAAATTTTAAGATGAGGCAGATGCCTGTGATATGGAGAGTTTTTGCCTACTCAAGGACTGCTCAAAAACTAGTTGACTGAGTTGAAGTTGGACAGGTAGATGGCCCTAATGGATGTCAGAATCAGCAAAGAAGTTGGTCTTTGTGTGGGTTATTGCAGATAATACAAGCTTATTACACACAAATCAGGCTTAAAAGGCTCCGCTGGGACTGAAGTGAGCTTGCCTCTCTAATGGGCCCAGCATAAGTAACTGTGCTGACTCATATTCCCATAGTGAACTCAAAGGCTTTTGTTTCGAATATCTACATGCCCCAACCTCTCCGGTTACATGTCACCTCACCCAGTGTGGTCACCGTTCACGTTTAAACCTGTCAGAACCCTCTCTGTATACAGTTGATGTTGCTGTTGTACATGTTTTCTTCAGCCTTTGCTTTCATTCACAATAGGCTAAAGTGTATTGTGTGTGGGATAATACTGCAGGAATATGAATTTGAATTGGCATGTTTTCCTGAAAGTGATTGCCTACATCAGAAACTGTTGACAGATGCAATGCAAAGCAGGAAAAAGAAGGGGAAAGAGAGGAGTTCAGCTTGTGAGCTGGGATGTGGCGATTTCCCTTGGAGTGTTGAGTTGTTATATTGTCTCAAGTGTATATAGACACACACCTGTGACATTTGTCTGGTGGCAGTGTTTCCAGCTGCAGCAGTGTAGAGTTTCCCTCTGTGTACTTGCCCTGGGTTTTCGCATAAAGGCGCCTTTTTAATCAAACTAGGACATGCACTTTAAGAGCACCATAAGTCATAATTCCTGGAATTTAGTACTGTTGACATTTCCACATGAAAGCGGGGGATGAATCAAATCTGTGTGGAAGGTGGATTTGTTAAGCGTACTGTACAGTGTATCTTTAAAAGGACATGCAAAAAGGCCATCTAGATATAAGGGGCAGGTCTGCTTATCTTCTGGACTTTTCATCTATCAGGCAAAAATGCCAAACAGTTGCTAATTTCAACTTTGTAAACATGAAGGTTTGCTGCTGATTGTCATTTATTATAAGTTTAGGATGAACATGCTTTAGTTTTGGGGTCATGATTGAGCACTTTGAAGGCATCGCCTTTAAAGTACAGTGGGGCAAAAAAGTATTTAGTCAGCCACCGATTGTGCAAGTTCCCCCACCTAAAATGATGACAGAGGTCAGTAATTTGCACCAGAGGTACACTTCAACTGTGAGAGACAGAATGTGAAAAAAAAATCCATGAATCCACATGGTAGGATTTGTAAAGAATTTATTCGTAAATCAGGGTGGAAAATAAGTATTTGGTCAATAACAAAAATACAACTCAATACTTTGTAACATAACCTTTGTTGGCAATAACAGAGGTCAAACGTTTACTATAGGTCTTTACCAGGTTTGCACACACAGTAGCTGGTATTTTGGCCCATTCCTCCATGCAGATCTTCTCGAGAGCAGTGATGTTTTGGGGCTGTCGCCGAGCAACACGGACTTTCAACTCCCGCCACAGATTTTCTATGGGGTTGAGGTCTGGAGACTGGCTAGGCCACTCCAGGACTTTCAAATGCTTCTTACGGAGCCACTCCTTTGTTGCCCGGGCGGTGTGTTTTGGATCATTGTCATGTTGGAAGACCCAGCCTCGTTTCATCTTCAAAGTTCTCACTGATGGAAGGAGGTTTTGGCTCAAAATCTCACGATACATGGCCCCATTCATTCTGTCCTTAACACGGATCAGTCGTCCTGTCCCCTTGGCAGAAAAACAGCCCCATAGCATGATGTTTCCACCCCCATGCTTCACAGTAGGTATGGTGTTCTTGGGATGCAACTCAGTATTCTTCTTCCTCCAAACACGACGAGTTGAGTTTATACCAAAAAGTTCTACTTTGGTTTCATCTGACCACAGTGACATTCTCCCAATCCTCTGCTGTATCATCCATGTGCTCTCTGGCAAACTTCAGACGGGCCTGGACATGCACTGGCTTCAGCAGCGGAACACGTCTGGCACTGCGGGATTTGATTATCAGTGGTCTTGTATGTCTTCCATTTTCTGATGATTGCTCCCACAGTTGATTTTTTCACACCAAGCTGCTTGCCTATTGTAGATTCACTCTTCCCAGTCTGGTGCAGGTCTACAATACTTTTCCTGGTGTCCTTCGAAAGCTCTTTGGTCTTGGCCATGGCGGAGTTTGGAGTCTGACTGTTTGAGGCTGTGGACAGGTGTCTTTTATACAGATGATGAGTTCAAACAGGTGCCATTCATACAGGTAACGAGTGGGGGACAGAAAAGCTTCTTACAGAAGACGTTACAGGTCTGTGAGAGCCAGAGATTTTCCTTGTTTGAGGTGACCAAATACTTATTTTCCACCCTGATTTACGAATAAATTCTTTACAAATCCTACCATGTGAATTCATGGATTTTTTTTTCACATTCTGTCTCTCACAGTTGAAGTGTACCTCTGGTGCAAATTACTGACCTCTGTCATCATTTTAAGTGGGGGAACTTGCACAATCGGTGGCTGACTAAATACTTTTTTGCCCCACTGTAGGTTGGTTGCATGCAACCAGTCAAACAACACCTGTAGTTATCTACTTTTAGAAGAAAGATTCTTGATGTTCTTTTTTAAAAATGTATTTATTTTTTATACAATACCTTGCACCTTAGTAACTTTCCATATCCATTTGCATTATACAAATCGCGTCATGTGAACAACAGCCGCAAGCTCCACTGCTTCAGTCAGTTGAGCGAGCGCCACAAAAACAAGTTCATCATCGCAGTTGGTTGTGTGGATATCGGTATCGAGTGAGATGCACCACCATTAAACCGCTTCCATCACAGCTGAGACCAGACAGTCAGGCACAGAAGAGTGTAAACACCAGCTGAAGAGCAGAAGGCATCATCACCATCATCATCGTCATCCCTCCATGGAAACCTGTTAATAATCTCATGGTAGGATTTGATCCACATGTGCAAGGAAGCCAACTAATTAAACAAACAAATGGCAATTAAATGAGACTTCCATAAGCCATATAACAACTGGGCTGGTGGAGAAGAAAAAGGCAAACATAACAAACCACACAAGTTCAGTCATTGCTGCACTGAACACACAGTCAGTGTTCGCTGTTTGTTCGATAGATCTCCCATTAAAATCTTTCATTCTGTGTAGAAATTGCACTCATTAGGAGCATGCCTGAGTGATTGTTTTATAATGTGATGTGAAATTGTTGTCTTCATAGAGCAGCAACTACAATTTAAAGAAACTGATATGCTGGTTTGTCTATTAGCTTTTCTTTTCTTTTCTTTTTTTTGCAGAGGATTAGATGAGAGGCTAGATTGTCTCATGTTTGCTTTGGTGCATCTGCTCACTAGTCCAGAATATCACTCCTGACGTATTATAGCATGTTGGTTTAATCATGTTTGACTTAAAAACATAAAAACAACAATTTGCATTTTTATGGGGAGGTTATGAGACAGCTGACAGCTGGAATAGGCTCCCGTGAATCTGAACTGGATAAACGGTTAAGAAAGTGGATGGGTGGTTATGAGACAGAGTGCTTCTTGGCTCGGAGTATTTTGTTACCTTATGTCAGATCCACGCAAGCTGTTTTGCCCTGAGTTTACAACAAAACAAGCTAGCACGCAAATATTTTTCACACATCGTCTTTGAATATTCATTGGAATAACAAACATTCTCTTAAGTGGCTGTAACAATAAAGAGTTTACAGTAAATTAGCGTCCCTTGATTTTATTAGGTACTAACAGCTCTTGGTGATAGTTTTTGGAGCTGTAGCCTGTGTTTTCATTTTGCATTGTCATTATGCCTCTATTGTGTATGGTGTTTGCTCCATTGAAGGAAGTGGGAATTTTCCATCAAAATTCCTCTCCCTGTAATTTGTCTTCCTTTTTTCCCCAGTCAGCAGTCTTCTTTCATACTCTTTAAAACTGGAAACACTGCTACTTTGTTAAGCAATTTAATTTCAACAATTAAACTTATTGTTTCATTTTTAAACAGTGTTAACTACACAGTATAACATGTGCCCAGTTGTGCACCTTTACCCAATAAACTACAATCTCAGGATAGGTTTGAATATTATGTCACTTACACAAATTTACCACAAGATTAAAACCACCTTCCTAAACACGCATATAGAAAAAGGTCAGGCTATTTTATAGGCTAGCCGTAACACGATAAAGCAAGGTGAAAGACCCCGCCCATATGTTGTTCAGACCTTCTGTTTGTGAGGAGTATCCAATCAGAAGAAAGTAGCCTGAAAGTGAAGGGGGATGGGCCTCAACAGCTTCAAACATTGGATAAGGTGATGTGTTGCATCAAGGTGATTGTGAGATACAACGTTTCTTTAGTAAAGTCCAAGAAAAGAAAGTAGCAGAATAATTCCACTTTAAAGGGAATTCCTGGACCTGAAGTTTCCCATCAGAACATTACATTGCTACTAGATTATGTTTCCCACTTTGCCCGTCAGTGTTTTGTTTTGTTTTTTTCTTTATTGTGTGTGATTGATTAGCACTAGTATAATATCTCTTTGTGTCTTTGTTCAGTGTAATCCAGAAATAAAGGTATAGGATTGAACTTGCTGAAAAGAAAAATCAGAAATTTCACAGATGTTTTCCTGCTAATATCAAGATTAATTGGTGGTTAATGAAAGCCTCGATTGTTTGGGCTCCAGGAAAAGGTGGTACTTTAGGTGTACTAATGAACCTGTGAGACACTGGTCTCCCACGGAGATTTTTAGTCACCAATGACTGTATAGCTCTGCTATCTAGATGACAATCTATCAGAGGATCACACCACCATCTGCTGTCGTGAATACAGAGTGGCTCTTGTGTTTGGTAGAAGCACTCAGGGAAATGCCAGTAGTCCAGAACTCAGTGACATTTTCAGAGGTACTGCTCTTACCTACGGGGGCTTACAGCCTGCCCTTCACTGCAGATTTCCCAGTCAGCATTGCCTACATCTGCAGCTGCTACTGACCTCTCAGTGAACGACCCTGGGTGCTTCCTTTTTGGCATGGTGCACACGCACTGTAAAAGAAAAGAAAACAATTGCGGGACCCTTTGAACGATACAAAAGGAATGTGAGTGAAAGAGTTTGGGAACAGACTGGCCCCAGGTCAGCGTGTCGTTTCTGCGTCTGCCAGCTCATTTTTATTCCCCTCTCATTCCTCAACTCGCCCTCAAGTCTGTTAAAGATTCATGGCTTTGCTGTTTAGCTGTTCAGTTGTGACTTAACAATGCTTCAACAGAGAGTTAAAGTCTGTAGATGTAGTCATGTATGCTGCACATACAGAGCAGAGAGGTCTTTGCTCTCTGTGCTAGCCTGTGGGGGGACCTTCAGGGAATAAAGCTGTAGGAGAGCAGCAGCTGTGATGGCATTTGCTGGCAGTCTCTGGGTTTCCGTGACCCCATGTTTGCATCAGAGGACTACTTTCTTATCTTTTCTATCACTTTCTTTTCTGGAGCAGTATTATTATTGTTCTTGTCTCTGAGGAATACTGACTCTGTAGTGTCTTAGTGGTTGGCGGTGTCCATGACCTAGTTAAGTATGGAGTGAGAACAGGAAGCAGAAGAGGAATAAAAAGCTAATGGGAGCTTGATTTGCTTTTGTTTGTTTTGTTTTGCTGGGACTCTTTCTGGCCACATCCCTGCTGGGGGTTTTTTCTTAATGAGTTTAGGTTTTTACCCTTGTTTTCCACATTGACTGGCACTCTCTCAAGCTTTCACCCTTTTCTTTCTTTTTTCTTTTGTAAGTACGTTTAAGACAGACAAATTAACTCTAGTCGACAGGCCCAACTGTTAGTGAGACCCCCTTTCCCCAGTGTAATTAGGATGACCAATTAGCACAGATGTTAAGAGTGTCATTAATTGTATACCAAAATAGAAATTGCAATTACGAACACCTTCATTAATCTGTTTATTAATTTCCTCTTGGTGATCCCTCCACTGTAGAATTGTTTCTAAGTAGCTGCTTTTTTCTCCGTTTTGGTTATTCTTAGTGATTTTTCACGTACTTACCAGTATTTTACATGTCTTGTTGGCTATACCGAAGTAGAAATGCACAGGATAAAGTGGAAAAAGTACACCCACGGCTTTGAAAGGAGACAACACAGTGATTTATTTGCTTCTTGCAACACTTCCATAGCCATCTGACACCCCCTCCTCCCTCTGGCAGGTGTAATGAGAGCGCTGGTCATGGGCAGATGATGGATGTGGAGACGTCGTATTCAGACTTCATCAACTGTGATCGCACAGGCCGCAGGAACGCAGTGCCCGACATCTCAGGAGAGGGGTCAGTAGCGACCAGCACCAGTGAACTTACCAAAGACATGGCAGAGATGGACCTGAAGGCTGCAGGTCAGTAATGCCACATCAGAATGAATGTGTGTTATACAGTGTGAAAGCAAATCAGAGAAAATAAGCATATAGTTTTTCATATTACAAACAAAGAATTTGCTTGGCAAGATTTTAGACTGGCCGACAGTATAAAATCCAAAGACTGTATGTAAAAGATGGACATGACTTTGGGATTGCTCATTTGTTTGTGGAGCCTTAGCCAGTTGTTAACGCTACATAGATATCAGTTGTTTAGCAAGATTAATCTATTTATTTATTTGTTTTACAACATTAAATGTAGGTTTCTTAATTTGGAACATAATGACAAAAAAAAACCCCAAATAATAATATTTAAAAAAAACAACAATAGGTCCTTAGAAGGTCTTAAATCATTATAATACAACTTCATATGAACAGTAACATATGACACATTGCACCATGTCATTATTTTTTTTAACAAAAACTGAGCCAAAATGCAGAATTGTGCATGAAGAACTACCGTAAGTGTCCCTCATGATTCGATAGCCTGTAGAACCACTTTCAGAAGCAAGTGCAGGCATGCATGATCAAGTTTCAACTTGATTGCCAACGATGGCTGAACCTTTCTTCTTTTGTCTCGTCTGTCCAAACCAGAAGTCTTGCGGTTTGTTCAGAAGCAATCTTGCAAACCTAAGATGCCATGTTCTTTTTATAGACAAGAGACTTTCTCCTGGCAACCCTTCCAAACAAACCGTACTTGTTCAGTCTATTTCTAATTGTACTATCATGAACTTTAAGGCTCGTTGAGACCTGTCTGAAATGACTGAAATGGAATTCTTGGGGTTTATTGTAATATCTCCGAGCATTGCACAATCTGACCTTGGGGTTATTTCACTGGGACATTCACTCCTGGGCAACATATTGGATTTTTTTCTGCTGAATAATCTTTGTAGAATGATAGACTTATTCAAAGTGGTTGGATATGGCCTTACTGTTGCACAGAAATAACTGCTTCTTTAAGATCATCATGTTGGCTTCTGTATTTTCATTTTTGTTATCTAATATTAATAAATCACAGCATGCTGTTTTTTATGTTGCTCATCTGAGGTTGTATTTTAATTATTAACTAATTTTAAAGGAATTTTTAAAATGATGTTCAGAGGTGTAAAACGAGTACGCATGAGGCACAAGGTTAGAGTCTGTGGTTAGACCAGTTTGGGTATTTGGTTGACTGTAAGAAAGATTAATTGATGCTGATGAGACACCACTTAAATCATTTAAATGAATTAAAGTCTAAAAGTAAAGAAAAGTCACATTTTCTCCATCCCTCTGTGATTACAGTCAGGCAAATAAAATAAAGACATGGCTTTAAATCTGAGAAGGAAAACTATTTTTGAGTCTGTTGGAGAACAGCAGTGAGAATGTTATAGAGGCCTGAGCTACATGAAGATTTCACACTACTAGAAGTCCTTTGTTTTGTTGTTGTTTCTCACAGATATCTGTAAAATTCTTCCAGAATCGCACCATTAAATCTTCTTTCTGCCAGACCGGAGCTGAAAGAACTGTTGTGATTTCTACTCTGGAAAAAAAAAAACAGTTTAACCACAATTCATCATCCTGAAGCTAGTTGAGAAGAATTCCTGCTTATCTGTGCAAGGCTATTACTTTGATCTAAGCCACATTAAAGTCTTATCTCTTTGACAAAACACCGCCTGTACTAGATGCACCAAAATATACCACAGAAACACAATTTCACTCAGTTTGTGGTGAGATTTGATTGTTGTCTCAGTGTTAAATTAATTGTAACTGCAGCACAGTGACACATCGTTGTGGCATCCTTCGGTCTTAGTCAAAGGTCTACTTTTTAAGAGGAAGGTGTCTTAATGTCAGTTGTACCAGACTGCATTGTTGTGTGTTACACGGTTGTTCTTGCTGGTTTTGTTTTCAGTCAAAGACAATTTTCCCATAAGTTGACAATTAAATGACCGAGATAAATCAAACCACAGGATGCTGATATTGTGAGGAGAGTCAAATCATACTAACACTGGGCTGCTGAAGGAAGTTGTATTTCCTTCCTCAGGATTCTCTTACTACTTGGATTGCCGTATCTCTTTTAGAGTGAAATTAAAAGTATCTTTCTTTTTTTTTCTCCCTGACTTGGCAGGAGGAGACCCAGGGTCCTCCCCAGCCCCAGAGGCGGAGGGCTCCAATAGCCAAGCTGCCCAGGGAAGCGGAGGCCCATCCTAAGCTCAGCCAGAGACCGAAGGGAGGCAGAGAAATGTAGAGAGGAAGCAGGTGAAAGTAGAGAGACATGGAGTAAGGAAATGGAGAGTGTTGGTATTGGTTCTCTTGACTGGACATGAGGACACTTTCGCTCACTGCCGGCCTCTTTGGAGTTTCAGGGGCTCCAAATGTTCGCCTTTTTATTGAATCCGATTGTACCACGGGGAACAGAACAGAGTAGAACTGACAGCTGAGATGCTGCGCTTTTGCTTTATACTCTGTTAGTTATTTATATTCCTGACGAGAGAAGAAAGCACAGAAACTTTGGATTAAGGTCTGCGGAGATGGACTGAGCTAAACAGAATTCGTTCATAACAACACTCGAAATGTTGCTCCAGCCTAATGTGGGACTGTCATGGAGGGGTATTCATTATCATCTGTTTGTCATTTTCTTTCTATGTATGTGTGTGTTTGTGATCCTGGTGTTCAGTTTCACCGTCGAGTCTTTTCTTTATATATTTACCAACATAGTCCCCATTTTACTGTCGTGTATGGAAATTCATATTTATTGCTAAATGTTCAGTGATAACTTTGTGATAGCAATTTTCTTTGTGTAATAAAATACTTATGAATTACTGCAACGTTCGTATTTTATGTTTTCGTTGATAATTAACTATATTTTGCAGGTTGCCGTACTTAAAATCTGAACCAGAGCAGGCATAGAAGTTGTGAAGGTGGTGACTCTCAGCCAAACCGGGATTAATGAGTTCGGGGTTAAGCTGCACCAGAACCATAAATAAAACTGAACGCTGCTTTTGTGTGTATTAGTGGCCACAGGAAGCTAATGTTTACATTTCCACATAGCTTGGCCCCTTACTCCCATTTATCTCTTCATACAATAAAGAAATCTTTAGTTACAATATTTGGGGGTTACGAGGCTTTTGATAAATGATTAGATCACAGAGATTACTTCATATTAATGATCGGGCTTCCTTTGAAAGATATTTAAAGTTACCGTTGATTTAAACTGTCACAGAAAATAAATGATGGCAAGCAGGAACATTTTATAGTAGCTTTTATTTTGTTTTCTTATAAATTCCATAAATGTGGTTATAAATGGATGTGCTTTTTAAAATTTTTTAATAAATACATACATCAAACAAGAGTAAAGAGAGATGTTGTCTATCTAGGTAACAGAAGTGTGCCACCTAGTGTACACATGTAAGGCTAAACTTTTGGTATTGAGCTGTGTTCGCCTGACACGCCCTGAAGTTTTGCACATACAAGGGAAAAAGCACATGTCTCTAACACTGGATTACGATACTTCACCTGCAACTGAACAGTGGATATTGAAAGTGAACTATATTTTGCAGTTCTTAGCCTCCACTGCTTTCAGTTATCCTTCATGTCATTGTTTTCTTCAAACATGAACGTTTAAGGTGTGAACTACAAATAACCTCCCCTATTTTTCCTTTTCCAGTCTGGTTATGTGTTAAACCTGTTACTTAGAAGTGTAATTGTGCATTCAATGCTTCCCTGATTCTCTTTACAACAAAAGGATGTAAACACAAGATGATAAATACAGGATGTATTAAAAAAAATCATCAGATTTCAAAAGGCTATTTTCGTTTAAACAATGGACATAGACGCTTGCAGTAAAGTTTAAAATATATGGCTGAATATAAAATTTTACATACAAAACGTTCACAAGTGATCAATGTGTTGTACTCGGGCCACACGGCGTATGTCCGTACGAGAGTCAAACTCCTCCCACACTTTTGCGAACGTGTCTGGAGTCAACGGCTGCAGAATTAAAGCACATTGAAATCGGATGATTCTTTTTGATTCACCCTGTATATCCAAAGTTCTGATATAACACAATATGTTTCATTCTATATTTTTGGACACAGCAGGGGACCCTGACTATGTCCAAAACAAGCACCCATAACTAACACATTAAAGCTATGCAAATACTAAGTATGATTAAAAAGAAATCTGGGATCCGGCCCATAAAAATGCAAAAAACCCAAATGTACATTTGGGTATTCTTCCTTTCAAGGTTATCTTCTTCTGCATCTCTTTACCACTTCCAGCACAGCTGCTGTTTTTAGATTCCTTCATAGACATCTTATTCTGTCCCCTTGTCTTCCTACCACTGCAGTATATGCTCCTCCTACAGCTTCCAGTGTTTTCCTAAGCCAACTGAGAGACAATCTGGTGTTTCCTGAATCTGCCTGAACCACCTCAGTGAGATCTGTTCAATGCAAAAGAGTAGCTCCACCATGAATGAGCTCCTCTCCCGGTCATTTTAAAGTTAGCCCAGACACCTTCAATTAGATTTTCATTTTACGAGGCAGATGAAGCCACAGGGAGCCAATTCTGGTAACCAGGGCTGGTTTTGAGTGAAGATTTTGTGTTTTTTGTGTTTAAAAAAAAAAAAATCTGTGCCTTTAATGCCACGTGTGCCATCACAGCTGATGTTTTCTCTCTGTTGGAGGTCTGTGGTAAAAGTCACAAGCGTACACAATGGGCCTTCTATGGAACAATATAAAAATAGCCGTGGTGCTGGAAGCGATCTAGAGATGTGCAAGAAGAAGAAGAAAAAAAAAAAAGCACAGCCAAATTTAAATTATGTATAGTTTCTGATTTTTGTGGTTTTTGTGCTTGCACCTTGTAATCAGATGCAATGTTGCTAAATACACAAACAGATGATATACAGGTATGTAAAATGAAGGATGCTTCCCATTGGTAAACAGCATATCTGATGTAATATTCTGTGTATGTTGTTTGTTGGGTTACAAATGACTAAAAACATGTTCCACTGCATCACATGGAAGATTAAGGTCTCAGAGTGATTTGTCCCTGCTTTAGGTTTCTCCTCAGAATTGCTGGTCAGGGTTAAAAGGCAGTGCTCTGGATCATCTCATAGGCCTCATTGAGTGTTTTAAGCAGCTCTTCCTTTTCCTTGGCAGGTAGAAAGCTTGACTGTGCAGAGCAAATGTTCTGTAAGACACAAGACAGATTTCACATTGAGCTGGGGAATTAACTTTTAGGGAATGGTTCAGGAATCTGGGAACTTAGTCACACTCTCATCAACAGTAAGCAGTCAGCTAGAAGTTTCATACTCATGTATGTGCAGTGAATATAGAGGTACAGGAGAAAAACAGTGTCTTGTGCATCTTCAAATTCATATACAGATGTTATATGATAAATGCACAGAGAAATATATGGAGCTACTGAAGCATTAATCTTTAAAACACAATTTGCATTTGCTAGTTTTGCAATAAATGTCCTGAATCAGCAAAGATTAATGAGATGAGATTGATGAAGGCAGAAACGATGCAGAATGCTGCAGCTTACTGCTTAATGGCACTGTTGTGCTTTTGAATACTTATGCTTGCTTATCATATATAAAATAAAAAACTAAATGTAACTCCACAATTGGTGACTTTGGACCAGAGTTTCTGTGAATCCTGGTGCAATATGGCATGAAAAGACACCTGTCATACTCCCAGTGATGACAGGAATTCTCTTCTGTCACTGTTCCCGGTCAGGAAATAGTCTGGCAATTAATCCTCCAGTAAAATCAAAATGTGCCCTTTTTACATTATGTTAGTCTTTATTTAACCACAATGTTGCAATTACTGAGCTTTATAGCTCATATTCGTTACCTCTATAGAGCTATGCTAGCTGTTTCCTGGATGTAGCTTCACAATCTGCTATAAAGATTAAATGAGCATTGATCTAAGTTCGCTCTTGGAAAAAAGCCAATTAAAATGTCAGTGTCACCATCCTTTTAATAAGCTCTTGGAAAATTATTCCAAACCTGGTGGAACTTGGATGTGAAGCTCAATTGGTGCATTGGTTAAACTGCGTCTGAGGCTCTTCTGTGAACAGTGGATTATTTCTCCATGGAAGGTTTGGTCCCTGCTTCAATTAACGATACAATATACCTTGCAATTACACCCCCTGCCTTCTTTTCAAACCATATTCAAATGAATTCTTCCTGTGAACTACTGCTATGATTATTCATGCATTTGATCTCACCAGTCGTTTGAATTCCTCCTCGGTGAATCCCATGTGTTGGTGTGCTGTCTGGTAGTCGTGATGCAGGTTGGAGTTAAAGATCAGAGGGTCATCTGTGTTCAGAGAGTAGTTAGCTTTGTCTTTCATGAACCTGCACGAAAGAAATAGTACGAAAATGAATAGATGCCCAAAGTTAGTTAATATTTAAATAAAATAATTGAATTTTTTTTATAAAAAAACCAAAAGAAACTGACGTGATGACGGGGTGTTTAGTGAAGTCTGGGTTGCAGGCACCTGTTAGCTTACTCGAAATAGGACACGTCTGCAATCAGAACAGCAAAGGCAAAACTGAGAGGCCAAAATATTCCAGTCTTTTTTTTTCTAATTCAATCCAATTTTATTTATATAGCGCCAAATCACGACAAAGGTCGCCTCAATGCTTCCCTGATTCTCCTTACAACAAAAGGATGTAAACACAAGATGAGGTGTTTCTAAAACACCTTTTTCACAGTAGACGTTTTGACTTGTGGCAGGAAAAACACACTTGGAATTAATGATGCCATAGATCCCTTAAGTGCCGCACTAAGGCATCAGAGACTACTCCAAGGTCTTTTCTTTTTATTCTGTACCTCCTTAACTCCTCAAAACTTCCTACTTGTGAAATCAATCTGAGTGTCCCATCTCAAAGGATGTCTTCATTCCTAAAATACATCTGAAGGACAGAGGAGAGAGGAACTTCTTGCAAGAGCTAAAATTGAGGATCCGCAGCTGTATACCTTGCAGAAATCTTCTTACCCATGACATATAAAAGAGCCATGACATAGAGCTGGTATATATGTAGCTGAAGCACTCTAAAGATAAGGTTTCTTTGTGTTCATATGTTTCATTTTCATTTATTTAAGATGATCAACTGCATGAAAAGGACACAAATATTGTGTCCTTGTCACATTCTGCCATGTTGTGAATTTATCTAAAGGCAGTATGCCTAAATATATAAACCATCATCAACAGCTGACATCTGAGACCAGAAAATACAGCTGGAGGCTACAGCAAAACAATAAACAGAGCTCTGTGAGAATGTCTGATTTTATAAAGTGTCTCTTTCACTTGCAGGAAAGGATGCAAGGAATTGACGAAGAGGCAAACATCAAATTCTCCACTAGGGGTCAGTGTATCACTGTCGCTAAGTAGATACTTAGTAGCCCTCCAGTCCACTTATCAATGTAATTATCTAGTAGAACAATCTCATTTCCTGTCTGTAATGAGCAATATGATCAAAGAGCAAAGTACATTTAATAGATTAGATAACTTTGCGTATGATTCATATTTATAATGAAAATGCTGAGAATTTCACACAGTTCTTTACCTCAAAGTGCATGTTTTGAGCCAGCAGTTTTTTGTACAGGTCGTTGTCCTCCAGAGTGCGGTAACCGTGTCCAACACGCTCAGCTTTCAGCACTTCCACAGCCTAAATTTGAAACAGAAATTCATAACATAGAGGTGAAAGGTTATAAAGTGCAGAAAATTGCACATGTCAGCAGTGCCTTCAAGCTATTTCTGGAGGCACATTCAGATGTTATGCCATAGCTGAACTGTCAGTTTAAAGGATGGGTTCTTTAGAGAGCAGCCGTTTTATTTTAGTCAGACATAAAGTGGTTATGCACTACAGAAGTTTGGATGGACATTAAAAAATAAGCACAGTATGTAGACCTATATTGGGTTCTTAAGTATACCCTTGTAGTCCCCACAGGAGTTTGAATGAACCATGCCGCCGCCAGTCAGCAACAGCTGCGAAGGATGCAGTCCGTGTTACCAGGTAGATGTTTAGACAACATCAAACGAAACTGAGAACACTTCTGTAGCTTCAGTGTAGGGTGAGCGGCAGATGTGTGACCCAAAGTGAGCGTTTAAGGAAAGTTTGCTCTATTTAAATATCTTGTCTACGCAGTAAGAATGTGCAAAGATCTAATTAGAGTGGGCAGGGTGTGTACAATAACTTATAACGAGTAATAACGAGTTACTGCATGATTAGTGACAGCAGCTGTGACACTTTATTTCGACTGGTACTTCTACTCATTTTGAGCACTTTCTGCTACATCTCTCATTCGCACAAATTCATGCAGTGCGTTTATCTATACCTCAATGCTTTTAGCTATCATTCACACACACTCACACGATGGATGCGTCAGGGACAACATAAGGCTCAGTATCACAGTAATCCAAGAAAACTGATCCCCTGACTTTCTGATTGACACGAGCCGCAGTCGCCCAACAGTCTACAGTTAGTGTTACATAATTTATTTCAGTTATACTCCAATGATAATGAACCAGCTATCGAAGAAGTTGTGCTAAAATTTGTCTGCTCTCTGCTGGAGGAAAGGGGCCCTCTCAGGGTTGGCCGTGGGTGTGCCTCACATGTTTGTTATGTTGTTGGACCTTCACATGTCCGTTGTTGTGTCGTCCTTTACCCATATATAGTATTTACTCAGTGTTAAATGTATTCTTTTACCAGGCTTCAAATGGGCAACACTAAATATAAAACACTTATTTTATTGACATGCCCGCCCCTTTTTGTTGTCACTGTGTGTCTTGATCGTTTAGTTTACAGGTATTTCAGGATATACAAGCACTAACATGACTCCACCACCTCACTCAGAAATGTCTCATAGTTGAGCTGCTTACTTCCTTAAAATGCACACAGTATGTATGGAGCAATTTAAAGGCACTCCCAATTTGTTTTCACACTAACCTTCAGCTGGGCTACAGCGGACATAGAGCTATGCTCTTCTTGTTTTCTTTGGACCTCTGCCCTTAATTCTGTTGTTAACATGTGGCTTGACTGTTTTGTTTAAACGTGCTTTTACGGACGGTTAAACAATCAGTAGGCTGCACCAGCCTGTTCACAAATGTCTCAAGTTATTGTTGAACAGCTCACCTCCTTCACCACAGAGGCCGGCCCCACCTCGCCAGCATGAACTGTCCTGTGGATCCCACAGCGTACTGCTTCCTGGGAACAAAATCAATCATGAAACGCAGCAGCAATCAAAGAGCTCAGTCAAACATTTGGTTTCCACATCTGTAATGTGTACCACTGACTCGAGTGCCGTTTATAATGTAGACAGGTTCTTGTACACACTTATTCTGGCAGAAATGAAAACTTTAATAAACGTTCCCCCAGTGGGTACACATTGAAATAAAAATGAATGTTTAATTTGTCATCGAAGTAAACTAAATATAGAGAAGGCATTACTCTGGTTTGAACATCTGGTTTCATTTTAGCATCCACAACCTCTGGCACACCGAGTGTGTCCTGCTTAATCAGCTCATACTGCATGCATCTCATGATCACATATGAAGATAACCTTCAATATTAGGGAGGACTTTGTTCTGTCAGCTCTGGTACTCGTTAATAATTAACGTACAGTGTGGGGGCTTGTATATACATTTCACAGCAGATAGTGATAAATACTGCTCATCATAAAGAGATGTTAGAAAAACAATGTCTCTCTAAAGGAAAAACAAAGAGAATGACAAAAATGTAACAAAGAAAATGTATGCAATGAATACAATGTAAACTGTAGATTTACTTAATGCACATACAGTTGCACTGAAAGGT